TTCCTTTGAGTGTGCAAAGAATTGCACTAACTTTTCCTTTGAGTGTGCAAAGAATTGCACTAACTTTTCCTTTGAGTGTGCAAAGAATTGCACTAACTTTTCCTTTGAGTGTGCAAAGAATTGCACTAACTTTTCCTTTGAGTGTGCAAAGAATTGCACTAACTTTTCCTTTGAGTGTGCAAAGAATTGCACTAACTTTTCCTTTGAGTGTGCAAAGAATTGCACTAACTTTTCCTTTGAGTGTGCAAAGAATTGCACTAACTTTTCCTTTGAGTGTGCAAAGAATTGCACTAACTTCGCGGATTGTTTTTTTTTTTGAAGGGCAGAGTACTAGTAGGTTAATATAATGAACGAAAATAGATTACCGGTATGTAAATGTAGTTTTGTAAACAAATATTTTGTGAGATCTGTATAAATAATAGGACTTTTGACATATGACATTTGTGAGTCATGTGGTACTGATATATATAGATTTATGTAGCTTTCAACAGATAAAATAGGTAGAATGGCTCGATAAACTTTGTAACAAATCAAAATTACGTAATATTTAAATCAGTTTACAGTAAAGAGTACCGGTATATTTACATTTGATTTATATAATAAAATGATAAACTACCTACTTATTCCTGAAGACAAATACAACCGCCGTGATTGGCAGATGGCAGTATCTGAGGCTTTAACAAGTCCAGAAGTGTAGTCAATTTCACATTTTGTTTCATCTTTATTAATCAACATTTCGGGGTTGAATGGAGAAAAACTCTGCGATCTATGTGAAGGAAACAGGTTGACCATAAGAGGAACAATCTTCCAACACAAAAGGATACACAAGTATACCTGGTTGTCACCTGACAAGAAAACCATGACCACCCAAATCGACCACGTCCTCATCAGCGACAAATGGAAGAGGTCACTGCAGAATGTAAGAGTGAAGAGAATGGCAAATGTCGGGAGTGATCATCACCTCATAGTTGCCAAACTGAAGCTGAAACTGAGGAAGACCAGGAACCTAGCCTGCAAATTTTGACTCCGACAATTTGAATGACCCTGGGGTAAAGAAGATGTTCACCATTACCCTTCGAAATATATTCAGTCAAAAACAAAATGAAGTGCATCAAGGTTCCATAATGTCCAATGTATGTCCCAAGTTAGGACGAATATCATTCATGCACTATCAAGAATTGATTCTGAAATGTATCTGATGGTTAAACAAATCTATGTGCATATGTGTGTATGATGCATATATAAAGTTTGAACATCAAGGGCATATCAGAAATGCTTTATTTTGATGATTTTTTGTAACATTAAAATAGTCGTCATTTGGCCATCTTGAATAAGATCAAGAAATGAATGGATGTGCATATGTATCCTAAGATATATAATGTGTGTTTGTATGTCATCAGCATAGGCATGTCTGTGTGTCCATTCGTCTTAACCAGTAAGTCTCCGTTTTCAGTCTGAAAAGGGACTAAAAAGTACTACATATTTTTGATGCAAGTATAGACTTGTATAATAAACTGGCAGCCCTATGGGTTAGTTGTTTTTACTTCAAGTTGATATAAAATTTTGCTTCAATAAAGTAAAAGAGACAACTTGTATGATCAGCTAGAAATGTTATGATTTATTTTCATCTTGGGCAATAGTTGTATCCCTGCAAACCAACATTACACTGACACTCATAGTACAAGAAATAATAACACTCTGCTACAATATAAACAAATATCACATTCTACAAAAACCACTTTTTTTTAAATTGTACATAATTTTGTGTATTTTTTATTTAATGAAAAAATATCATTTTGCCCTCAAATCTGTACATCTTATGTTAACTGGAGTATTTTGTAAATAATATTTTGTTAGAGAAAGGGGAGGAAAATTGCATGATAATCATAATTCTTGTGACAGCTTTTTCTCCGCCTAGATATGCTAATCATATCTAGTATAAAACATATCACACCTATCAAAGTGAAAAACTATAAACAATTACACCAGGGCCAGATTTTAAGTCAATTCATTTACACAAATCATATAAATTTGTTTTTACAGGGAATTTTACAATAGATGTCACTCTGCATTTGAGTTGTGTTTAGTGAGTGGGTCACACCATAATCTAAAAGTGATCATTCATGTCAGCAAGTTATTGTTCTGGAGGGTTGCCCATACCTAATGTAAATGCTGATACTATTTTTGTTTACTCAATTACTTTTTCATTACATGACTTTTTTTTAAAGAAATTTGCAATAGCCACAGAGTATGATTTTAGTCACTAGGCTACATAGTGCTATAAAGTCAGCAGTTATAATCATTGCAATCACTATCAAGAAATCATTCTTGTATCCCTATGTGACATCTGTCATTTGCAATCTACACATTTAAAATATGTCAACCCCAATACTAACATAGATCAGTTCACAAAAATGAAACATGGAAGATAATGATTTTATGAATTGTCATCAAAATAGGAACTTTTATGAAGAATATAAATTATCATATGAATGGTGCAGGGTTTGACATCAAAGACAACACACGTATATTAGCACATAGCAATTACATTCATTTACTGTCATTTCATGTACAAAATCCTCACATCATAAAAACAGATGATGTTTCATGGTCATTATCATGAAAATATTGCATACAATTTGCCATACATATTATAGATTACACACAAGAATACTAAAAGCCGATCTGACCCCCTCCCCTTGACATTCACCCCTCCCCACATGATGTGAAACAACCCGCACTGATAAGAGTATTTCAAAAATAAAATAAAATAAAGAGGGGAGTGTTTAAATTATTCAAATAATCCCAATAATTATTATATATACATAGTTGTACTTACATAACAATAAAAAAAGATAAAATCAACCTTTGTGTGAAAGTCTGCACTTCACAGTGGTGGTTGTCTTAAGACATATAGTACAAAATCTACTTATATTCTGAAAATATGCATCACTTTTCAAGTCTTTTCTGAAAATACCATAATTGCCAACACTATCTTATTTTCAAAATCCAACAAAATGTGCTTGGATATTGATACATTGTAATTACTTGAGACAATTGAAGCCTAGTCTTATGGGTTGAGACAACATTGAACAGCAGTCTTCAAACAGTGCTTAACTTTACAAGACCCATTGCACTGTCTTCTTCAAGGGTGTCCATTTCCTGTGATATGCTGTGCTTCACAAAGGGCCTGACAGGTGGATGGGCCCCTGGGGGTGGGGGAGACAGGGGATGCATGACATTGTTCCTGTTATTCTCCTCTGTTTCCCCTCCCACCACAACTGGTAGGTGATTGACAGTTGGAAATACCAGAGATGTCTGACTAACTGGTGTCATCTCATTCACTATGGGTGATGTGGGCTGACTTGTTGCTGCAATGGTTTCATTACAAACAGCATCTATATTATTGCTATCTACTGTGGTTACCAGAGTCAAATTAGTTTTACTATTATCTTCTTTAGTATCATTCATTTCATCTGGCTGCAAAGATATGATAAAAAATAGAAACACAATAAAACTCAGAAGTGAATTAGTTTACATCAGACTATGGATATATTAAAATATACTGGCAATTTTAACACACAAACAAAGAAATAAACATAGTGTAACTATGACAACTTTGCGCATTGAGAATCTAAGGTAAACAAGTCATTGAAAATGACACGGTCCCCATTAAATTTTCAAAAGTATGTGATGTATGTGCCAAATACGAATGAAAATAGTACATAAATTGTGGAAATATAGTAGTAAGGCCAAAAAGTCAGACGGCTGTCAATTGGCCATCCTTGACCAGATTTTGAAACAAATTGTCATGGACATGCATCCTAACATGTATAAAGTACATGTATTGAATGAAAACTGACAGAGCACGTCCAAGTTATCGCATAAAAAAAACCCCAAAAAACAAGATGCCTGCCAGTCGACCATCTTTGATACAATTGCGAAATAAATCGTCATGGACACGTATCCTAACATGTATAATCTATGTACCAAGTTTGAATGACAACTGACAAAGCATGTCCAAAATACAACATTTTCAAAAAACAAGATGGCTGCCAGTCGGCCATTTTGAATCAAATCACTAAACCACTGCATGTGCATATGTCCCACATAAGATACTAGGCACATGCAGAGAATGAACGGGATTGGTCAAAGGGATTCTGAGATATGACTCCGAACGGACGCACATACGCACGGACGGACGGAGACCGAATTATAAGTCCGTTTTAGGACAAACATGGCAGTGATTCTTATATCAAAACCAAACATGGCAGTGATTCTTATATCAAAACCAAACATGGCAGTGATTCTTATATCAAAACCAAACATGACAGTGATCCTCATATCAAAACTAAACATGGCAGCTGATTCTTATATCAAAACTAAACATGGCAGTGATCTCTTATATCAAAACCAAACATGGCAGTGATCCTTATATCAAAACCAAACATGGCAGTGATTCTTTTATCAAAACCAAACATGGCAGTGATACTTTTATCAAAACAATATATGGCAGTAATCCCCAGTAAATATACCATATTCATCAGACTTGGTGTTCGTTTTGGTATTCACAAGATATCTGGGTCAGATGTTTCTTGTGAAGCCAAAATGACTAGAATTCACGTAGAAATTGTATTGATTGAGTTTTCAGTATCTGTTTTTCTGTATGATCTTTGGACCCTCCTTTATATTTAATATGATGACTATTTTATTCTGTTGACATTATGTCCAAGTAAGCAAGTAAAATTAGAAACATAACAAGATTTCATATGTCCATGCAAACAGTGATTTAGCTGTTTTAGAATCTGACAGATGATGTAACGTTTGAAGTTGGTTCATGGCTCAGTTTGTTTTACATACAATGAATTAGAGAAACTTGTTGTCTTGATTGGTTGGTTCTTGAGATGCATGTATCTGTGGAACAAGATTTAAGCAAACAGTACAACAAAGGAATTGTTTATTTTCTGTCCACTATTGCTAGAACTAAAATCAAGTTGAGTTAACACTGCCAAAAGTCTTCAAAGCCATTTGTTTTAGTTTAGCTCATATCTGTGATAGTGGCAATAGTGTGGTTTATTCCCAACCTCCTAAC